TCATATGAATGGACGAGAGATGGGCTGACAATCAATAAGAAGTCATTCACAACAAACACTGACTATAAATCAATTTTGTCGCCCGATATGTCGGACGAGTGGCAAATGTCCGCTCAGTTGGCCAGCGATCACCCGATGGTCGAGAGCGCCAACGGCTGGCAAAACATCACTTTGCAGTCAAGAATCTATTCCTCCGCGCATTCAAAACTTCATAATAGGTTTGGTTTCACTAATTGTTTACAAAAACTATGAATTTTAATTTACAAAACAATTGTTTTATTAGTTTTTCACTCAAATTATTGTCCGAATCTAAGTCTTCTACCGAAAAGATTACCGCAAACTCAGTGTCGGATATTATTAAAAGTTTAGGCGATAATTACATAAACATTGAGACAATTCTTCGACCAGAGATGGAAACGTGTCATAACTGTCAGACACTACAAAATGCCATCAAAGACAACGAAGCGTCCCTCAAAGGCGAGGCCATTGCGTCCATTCCGATGACAATTTCGTATCTCAAACTCATCGATCGGGTCCGGAGTGGAGGTCCCGGAGCTTCAAAAGAAGATATGATTAAATTACTTAAGAGTTACAAAAAGAAGAAGGATATCGTCTCATCCATTCTCGACATTTTGGCCGGTATTTGATTCGTAAAGAGTTTTATTATTTTTGCGGAACTAATTGTCTGTTATTTTCGGCGCAAAGGGTCGCGAACCGAGCAGTCAGTGGCCACGGCTTTAGAGTACCTGAATTTACCGAAGAGTGAAGACTTGGACTTCGGTGAGAGATTTTTAGTACAATTGGCCACTTCTGTGATGACAGCGTCGCAAATGCAGTCCATCTCTTCGGCCACAGTATCGGCCGATGAAGTGATGGCAGAAATACTCAAACAAACTCAGGTCAAGAACTGGAAGAACGAGAAACTGAAACAAACGGCTTTTCTAATACTGGCCACACTTCTCAGAGCACACGTTTACGACCACAAGAATAATGGACACAAAAATACCGAAATAATTGTATGAGTTTATGAGTGTTTGCAAATTGACCGCAAGTTTTTAATTTCAATTTTTTACATTTTGTTTAGACAAAAGTTATAAAACAATTGACAACAGAATTGGATTCGTGTAAAGAGACCGACTGTCGAGTGGTATTCCTTCACGCCATCGGCAACACAGGACTCATCAGAGATGGTGTCTATCAGGCGATTAAAAAGCACTCACTTATTGGTAAACGAGAATCGATAGCCGCGATGAAGGCTCTGCGCGAGTGTCTGGAGTGGTCGGGAACTAATGACAAACTGACGCCTCGGTTGAGGCATTTGTTGTTGCGAGTGGTCTACGATCCCGAACAGGAGACCACTTCCCGAATGATTGCCGCAGAACTCATCTCAATATATCTCAACGACGAGAAGACCACTAAAGAGCTCATTAAACACTTACCCTCTTTTGGTAATAAACAATGAACTTTTTGAAACAATGAAATTTGTATCAAAAATTGTGATTATTTTGTTTGAAGGGAACAACGAGTTGGCGACCATCATCTGGAACCGGGCCTTCTCTTCGGCACCATTGATACCGATGGCTCACCACAACTGGCACTTGCATTCAACCACTTTCAACGGCTCTTCGGCGTCATTCACACGAGTAATGGGCGGAACGAAGAGTACGAACGCTTCCTATAGAATACTTATGGAACTCTTGAATAAAGGAAAGCTATTGAAAGAGTCGGCCTTTGATGTCGAGCTCTCGTCACCCAATGGTTACTCTCAGCACTTGATTACAGTCGGAATGTTTGCCAGAGGTTTACAATCGTTTGCGGGTCAGTACTTGTCCTCAGTTTATATATTTGTAAATAAAATTTGCTTAAATTATAATGATTTGAATGAATCCATAGGAGACGCAGAGGCGGAGACCGCTTCCAACGATGTGGAAGAAGAGCAAACAATGGCCGGAATGTCTCTTAGGATAATGAACGTACAGTTAAGGCCCTTCACGTTCTTCACGGGCACCGGAGAGTTGATGGGACACGTCTGGTCGGGAACGGCGTCCGAACCCACGACTGTATTTCAGGGAAATTTCTTATTAGGCGACTACTGGTCGACACATCCGTTGATCAACGGTTTGATTGTCGAACAAAGTCTTAGAGGAATCTTATCATTAGATCTAAGCGGAGAAATACAGATCTCTTTGTGGAACAGAAACTCTCATTCTGTGGTTCACACCAAAGGATCGCTTCTATTCCAGGGCTCGCAGACTGTCCTCACGTCTGACCGAAAGACTTCCGCTTCGAAACAGTTCTCGTTTGGAGGAAACACTCGATTGGATTTCATTACAGATCTAGACTTTTATTCGTCTCCTTTCAAGATGTGTATGCAAATCGATAGACCGGAGTTTACCTTCAGGTATGTCATCCATTATTCTCTCTCTCTCTCTCTCTCTCTCTCTCTCTCTCTCTCATTTCAATCCTTCACTTCATTACACAATTGAATGCTTGAAATTAACATGAATTTTATAACTTTTAAATGATAGACACAATACCCGAAAGTACGAGAGAGTGAACAGTGAGAACCTTCACAAACGTATTCACCGCCGTATGTATAGCATACCCGCCAAGTCTTATGCCATGCATCGCGACAACAACCAAATGTGCGCTCTTATGAACAGTGAATGATATGTTTTAGTTATGTTTTTAATTAATTGTTTACTCATTTCTCTATATTTGTTGATTAAAATAAAACTTAAATTGTAGTAAACTTATCATATGTTTTGACATGTATTTGTTGTTTGTTCTAAAACTTGAGTTTAATAATGAGTAAACTTAGGAAAAAAGGAGGATAAAAATATTTTAATTGTTGCTTTTCCAATAAAGTTCGAGACTAGTGTCCGGCAAATACCTAACAATAATAACCCGAATTTGAATTCGGTATTTAAATGTAAAAATAAAACATATCTTAAACGTTACAATAAATACAATAATTTAAATTACATTCAAACTTCGGGTTATTATTGTTAGGTATTTGCCGGACACTAGTCTCGAACTTTATTGGAAATGCAACAATTAAAACATTTTTATCCTTCTTTATTCCTAAGTTTAATAATGAGTTTTTAGTGAAATTACTTTTTTTAATTTTCAATTTATTTAAATTAATAATTTAATAATGTTTTTGAGAGAAATGTCAACTAATTGTCAAACAAGTTGCCAAAGATTGTGATCTTATATTTTTTAAATTCAAAGAATAATTATTTTAATAAAAATAAATAGTAATAAAATATTATTGATATTATATTTTAGTTCATTAAAAGTTTATTGAAATTCTTTGCGATTGTTTTTCATATATAATATGTTATATAATTGGCTTTTGGATAATGATCTCCATTAATGCAAATTCTCGTTAACGACGGGCTCTTCCCTCTCAACGATAGGCATATTTGCGTAAAACTCTTCGGGTATTATAAGACCCGGCGGTGCGATGAGTGGCGTCCATCGCAAGCACTCCTCATCGATGGCAATTCGGGGACGCTTTAGACAACTCGTCAGTTGCGGACCGATTTGTAGGCACCAACTGTTCCCATGAGAGACAAGCAATCAGTTGTATTGACTGACAATTCAACAAAAATCAATTTGGATTCAAACCTTGCGTTCTGTTTGTTAACGACTTTGCAATGATTTAGAGTAGCGCTGATGTCGTGGACATTCATTCTGGTGGCGCTTGAGATCTCGACGTTTCTTATCACTTGATAATATCTTATCTCAAATTGGTTTTTATATCAAATGAAAATGTTATACCAAAATATACTTAAAAGTTGACACATGTTAAGTGCATTCATATGATGGAAAATTAATTTTAAGCCGATATTTAGTGTTGATAATTTCTATAGAATTAACATTTACATTACAAGTATTCAATTTTTCAACATTTGTCTTATTTCCTTTTTATTCATATTTTGTATGATATAAAAATATTTATATGACTGATTGATGTCAAATAACTATCACAACAATTATCACAATTCCTATTATACGCAAAAAAGTACTTTTCAAACAAAATTAGTTTTGAACTTCAATTTTCATTACAGATTATGATTATAAGTGAATTGAATTGAAAAATCCGATAATTCTTTGACTTTAAATCTCATTAGAAAATACAGTGTTTTTCTAACACAAAATTTTCAAACACTTTAATTTTGTATTTCAAGTAAATCTTTTGTTAAGCATTGGATCACAATTTAAGTGTTCATTCAATTCACACCACTATTTGTTGGCACCGATTGTCACAACCACTCCATCCGCACAACACGTGACCACCCATTGGTTGGCGCGAAGAGTAAGGCGACAAATAGTGGCCAACACTCGCGACCACAAGTCATCGACGTCTTCAGTCGGCGACCACTAATTAGTTGTTTGGTTATTGTCTTATAAATTATTCCATATTTAGTGTTTGAGTTTTTTTCCAAATTGTTTCGTAAGTTGTTTTTTAATTGTTTATGTTTTTACAGTTATATTCAAATTAAAAGAATAATTGTTTCATTCAAATCATTATAGCAATTGATAAACATTTGCTATTAGTTACAAATATATAAACTGAGGACAAGTGCTGACCCGCAAACGATTGTAAACCTCTGGCAAACATTCCATCAGTCATTAAATAATGGGTACAAACTTAACAAACATGTAGTAAATTGTTATATAATCTAATAATATTGACATAACATTTATAGCGTCTTCGAGCCGAGAGTCTAACTCTGAAGGCAATAATTTGGCTCCAATTATATTTCACTCAAGTCGTGGCAAATACGTGAAGCTGTGGGACGGCTCAAGAGTTGCTAAGAAAGACGGTTCCTGTTATGGGCTTTCTTTCAGTCATCGCCCGATTGAGTTCAACCAAAAAGTTTGGATAAAAATATTAAATGTTTCGAATCAATGTTCGAGTGGAGGCATATGTTTTGGCTTCACGTCCATCAATCCCATAAACAGTGGTTCATGTGATGCCAACTGTGGCACTCTTGAGCTGACAAAGAGAGCCGGAAATTGGGTCGAAGGTTTGCCCGAGACGTTTGCAGCCAAAGACTACATTCTTGATTTTCACGTCAATGAGATGGGAGACGTTCATTACGGGATTAACGGCGAACATCAAGGTATTATTTTAAAAGACGTGGCAACTAATGGGCCGCTTTGGGCACTCATCAATATGTTCGGCGACGGGGTTGGCATCGAATTGATTCAATTCCCACAAACTGATGGTATGTTTGCTTTTATCAATTTGACGTATAATTAATATTTAACTAAATTGTTTGCATTGTTGCTATAGATTCGGTGAATGCCGGGAGAGTTGAGTGCGGAATCTGTCCAGTTATTCGGTCTATTCATTGCAAACTATTTCCGTGCGAACACGAGATGTGCTATAATTGTCAATTAAATCTAGAAGTAAAACAGGGTAAGAAATGTTGCCCTTTTTGTCGAAGGGTTATTGAAAATGTGGTTATCAAGTATAGGCCGTGAACAGACCGGCAATTCGTGTCCTAATTTACACCACGATAACAATCTATGAACAGTGAATTAATTGTTTTAGTTATTAAATTAATTATCACAAACTTTTTTTAAATGTTCATTCATTTCTTTTAATTCCTTTAAATTATGCATAATTTATGGTTAAATGAATCTTAAGTTTTAGTAATTTATAATTTGTTTATTTTTATGTTTGCTGTTTGTTTTATACTAGAGTTTACTAATGAGTGTTTAGTGAAATTACATTTTTTAATTTTCAATTTATTTAAATTAATAATTTACTAATGTTTTTGAGAGAAATAGTAACTAATTATTAAACAAGTTGCCAAAGATTGTGATCTTATATTTTTAAATTCAAATAAACAACAAATAACAATAAATTATTTTAATACTCAAAGGTTTCAATATTTTTAAATTAATTAAAAGTTTATGTGACGCCTGAACGCTGGCTGACGGCGGCATTTGCGGCGCTGCCGAGCCGTAGGCGTAGCCGCCGTTGTAGTACTGGTACTGTTGAGCAGTGGTTGCCATTGGGTTCGGCGCTATTTGCGGATAATAGGGTCGCGACTGTTGTGACGCCAATTGCTTTTGATAATTGC